TCAGCTGGGAAAGCGGTGTATTGCCCCAGGCAATGATTGACCTGTTGTATGTTCAGAGACAAAATCATTAGAAAATGACATTTGGTGGCGGTGCTGATGGGATTTGTGTCCCTTTCCTTCCTGGTGAAATTCTGAAATGCGTATGTCTTCTGTTAAACAGTGAAGTAACATGCTGCATCAACCAGAGTGTGCAGGGTCGTCACTGGCCATGAGTACGCAGCGGTTACAGCTGTGCTCGAGATTTCTGTGTGATTCTGTCAACGTATGTGATCTTGTTGACACCCTGCTTCATGGACAATGCTATGGCCGGGGTTGCTGCTGCTAGTTGCTGTTGCTCTTGTCATTGATTTATGCACCAATTTTGGCATTTTAAAGATGTTTTATTAAAAATCAATTTTACATCTTCCCCTTAAAGAAATAGAATGATCTGGCACCGTGCAGTCAGAGTTTCTGTGAGATGGAGATTAGCTGTTGCCACGTAGCTGCTGCTCCTATGAATAAGGCAGGGTCCTCCACCCTGCCACGCCACCCTCACTCAGACACAAGGGCTCACGGTTACTTATTACTGTGCTTATCCTGAGATTTCTCCATGGTGGTGTCATTTCTGTACCCCCATATCTATCAAAAATAGAAATAAAAAAATAGAGGAAGTGGGAGGGATCCAAAGTTTTCTTAAAACTTGATGCATGCAGTTTTCCGGGGCACTGCGGACACTGAGTAACGGGTCTCCTTCACAGGGGCTTTTTACAACACTGTGGTGTCATATCCCCATGGGGACCTGGCTACAGACAATCAGATACAAAGCTGTCTCATCACCACAGGGACCCTTTCAGTGCTCTTTGATAGCCACACCTGCTTTCCTTTCACTCCAGTCCCCCAACTCCTGCCAACCCCTGATAACCCCTGATCTGTACTCCATTTTTATAATTCCAGTATTTCAAGAATGCAGTATAATTGGAATCATGTACCTTTTGGAAATGGCTTCTTTGGGTCAGCATAATTGTTCAGATTCATCCAGGTTGTTGTGTGTGTGGATTATTTAGTGCTGAGTAATATTCCACAGTTTGTTTATTAACTCAGGAACATCTGGGTTGTTCTAGTTTTGTGTGATTATGCATCAAGCTGCTGTAAACATTTTGTATAAGTTTTATCGTAAGTAAATTTACACTTCTCTGAGATAAATGTCTGGGAGATCAATTACTGAGTTGCATGACAGCTCATGATTAATTTTGAGAGAAATTAGCAAACATTTTTCACTGTGGCTGCCCCATTACATTTTCACCCCCACCCTGTGAGTGATCTAGCTTGGTGGCATAATTGCCAGTGTTTGGTGTTGTCACTGTTTTTATTGTAACCAGTCTGATGGAGTCATGGTAGTGTCTCATTGTGATTTTAATTACTATTTCATCTAATGTTATCAAACATCTTTTTTAAAATTTATTTTTATTATATGTCTTCAGGGTATACAACATGGTGTCTGATGTGCATATACGGTGAAATGATTATGGAAATTACTCAACATAGCAGAACTGTCATCCTCCAATGAGACCTCTGTTTTTAATATTTTAACCTTTTTGTGATAAGCACATCTAAAATCTACTCTCTTGGCAAATGATTAGAATAAAATATGATATTATTAACTATTCCACTGCGCATTAGATCTAGAGACTTACTCTTCTGACCAAGGTGCAATGTTAGACCTTTACCTACATGTCCCCATTTCTTCTCCTTCCCAGCGAGGGCCGCGCTTGCTCTCGTCTCTGTTTCTATGTATGTCTCTGCTTTTCTTTTTCTTTTTAATGTTACATACGTAAGTGAGATCATATAGAGTCTTTCTGTGACTGGCTTATGTCACCTAGCACAAAGATCTCCAGTTTCATTCCTGTTGTCACAAGTCGCAGTATCTTATTTGTTGAGGCTGGATAACATTCCATCGTGTGTGTGTGCACATGCAGGCTGGTGTCCAACTCCTGGGCTCAAGCTGTCCTCTTTCTCTAGCCTCCCAGTAGCTGGGATTACAGGTCCACATAGCAGCATCTGGCAAGAGTTCCTTATAGCCCTTTGTCAGATGGTCGATTCTCATTATTCACAGTAGCGTGTTCTATAAAGTCACCATGAACACTGAATTAGCAAATACTGAACCATTGTTCCCAGGGGAATTTCAGGGTTAGGTACCAGTGACCTTCTGGTCACATTTCTGTCAACCGATCAATACATAACCTTGTTTCATGCGTGTTTATGTTTAAAGATACCTTACTTAATATGTGTTATTGATTCATAACATTGAACTCAGCCAATAGCACTGAAACTCTGAGCTGAACGAAGCTCCTCTAATCACACACACAGTCTGTAGAGCAGGTCCCAGCACCCTGCCCTTCCAGGCTCTGGACAGTACTCCAGCAGACACGTGGGGCCATCTGAAACAGCAGAGTCACCAGAAAGCAAAAGCACAAAGTACAAAACCACATGGCCCTAAATACACTGGAAAAATGACACGTGTTTGCAGTATTGTTCAACCTCTGTTGGGAACCTCCATGTTAGATGATTCAATAATTTTTTCTTTACCACTATCTGTGAATGACATGATGTTATCTATTTTTTTTTGAGTTCTTGTTTTTATTTATTTATTTTTGTATTAAATCATAGCTGTGTATATTAATACAATCATGGGGTGCAATGTGCTGGTTTTACATGCCATTTGAAATATTTTTCATCAAACTGGTCAACATAGCCTTCATAGTATTTCCTTAGTTATTGTGTTAAGACATTTATATTCTACACCTAGTAAATTTCACATGTACCCTTGTAAGATGCACCGTAGGTGTGGTCCCACCGATTACCCTCCCTCCACTCATCCTCCCCCAGCCCCTCCCCTCCCTCTCCTCTTTCCCCTTCTTCTTGGGCTATAATTGTTTCATAGCGGGGCTGAGTACATTGGATATTTTTTCTGGTATATGTACACCATGGAATATTATGCGGCCTTAAAGAAAGATGGAGACTTTACCTCTTGCATGTTTACATGGGTGGAGCTGGAACATATTCTTCTTAGCAAAGTATCTCAAGAATGGAAGAAAAAGTATCCAATGTACTCATTTTTTTTTTTTTATGGATCATGCATTCTGTGTCTAGTCTAAGAACTGCTAAGCTTCATATTTAAAATAAATTTAAATTATTTTTAATTTTTTTCTGAGAGTTTTATAGTTCTGAATTTTTCACTTTAGTTCATAACCTATTTTGTGTTAGTTTTTATATGTAAAATCAGGTATGAGATTAAAGTTGAGGTATGGTTGTTTTGACTGTGGATGTCCAATTGCTTCCAGTTTAAAAGGTTACCATTCCTCCATTGAATTGTTTCTGTACCTTTGTCAAAAGTCACATGAGTGTGTTTATGCCCTTGTACTTCTGGGCAGGAGGTGGAGGCCCAGGCTCCCCATGTGGTCCCCACGCCCACCAGGTAGGGGCTTCTCCTTAGCACCCATTGGGGTTGGAATTCTGGCTTTTCATCCTGAGCTTCCCTGGAAGGTGGGAGCAGAGCTGCCCTCCAGCCTGGCCACGGTGCAAGCTCAGACTTCCCACAGGATCTCTGCAGGTGTGTGTGGTGGTGGGGGGAACAGTGTTTCTGGGTTTCTTGGCAGGAGTACTCAGCTATTGCCTGAGAGTTTTCTGTTCTTGGGCTGTCCCATTTCTGAGCCTTTGACTAGAGGAAGCAGGCGTTTTCGTTGGGGCTATTTTTGTCTGAGACTGTTAGCGTTTCCTGCTCTTCGGCTTCTCCAGGTTCCATCCTGGGACCTGTGAGGCAAAAGAAAGGCAGGAACTCAACTCTGTGCCTTTCCTGGGGCAGTCTGCTTTCTTCGCCATCTTTCAGTCATCTTCTGTTTGTTTTCTGAATGCCGTCTAGAGTTCTGAGTTATTCTTAGTGCGAAAAGTAGAGGAAAAATATGTCTCTTTCATCCTTCTGGAAGTGGAAGTCATAGCAGGTATTTTATTTAACTGCTTGTTTTACAGACAGAAACAAGTTGAGAGAAGTTATGTGATGCCCGTAAGCTCCCACAGCTGGGAGTGGGGTCTCCCAAGCTACAGCTGTGGATGCAGTGCCTGTGCTGTTTGTCCGCAGGCTCCTCTGTAGGTCATTTACACAGGAAGACAAGCAGGGGACCACCCGCAGAACCAGTCTCGGGGTAGTCTCAGTGCAGCTGCGTCAGGAACAGCGTCCTCCCCCAGCTGTGAGCTCCCTGCGCCGGGGAGACTGATGTGGTCGTGGTCCATTTTCCTTGTACTTTGCTTTGGTTTATTCACATTCCATTTCACGATGGGCTGAAAAGCAGAAGAAGAGGAGAACACATATGACACCAGAAATGTTCCCAAGTGCTCACAAGCCAATGGTCATGATCATTAAGTGCAAAGCTTAGAACCTCAAAGATGTGTCTGCATTTGTGACAAAGAGAGCATGGGGACTTCCACGATGGCCTGAGATGATGGAATTTGGAAATTCGAGTGATATATTGAACATCAGGGAACAGAAATACACGGGGGAAAGTGTTTGGCGATGCCATGAGGAAAAACAACTCAGCTGCCGTGCTTCCAAAGGAAGTGCTTTTGTGCTGCAAGATGATAGGAACTCGATTTGCTCGTGTGTTTTCCACCACGCATTAAATAATGAATTTTCCTATCACAACGGACTTTCCTGCTAAAGACCATCCATACCTCATAGAATAACTGTGTCACTGGGCTCAACTATTCCTTTCCTCTGTTTCTGTCCCTCCAACCCTGTTCAGTCTTCGCTGATCTCAGCTGCACTCAGGTTCCTGCCTCCACCATTGCCCCATCCCTTCCCTCTCTGACCCTGCTGATAAAATGCGTTTCTCTTTGATGCCAGATGATCGTGCTGCCGAGGAGCTCCCAGCTTCCTGTGGATTTCATGATTCAGTCTGGGTATTTTTAGAAGCCGTCAGCATCAAGGCCTCTGATCTTCAACAGCCTGTCCTTTGCTCTTTTCTCAGGTATTACCAGATCCGAGTGACCTTGAAGGTGTCCTCACGGATCCCTCACAGACTGAGTGCCTCCATCGTCGGGCAGACAGGTGAGCAGAAGAGTGGCTGTGGAGTGCACCTGCTCCCAGGGGTGGGCCTTCCTCTGTCACTGCACGGCAGGGCAGAGCAGAATGCAGGGCACATAGAGGTATTCAGCAAGTCACTGGTGACTGTGGGATGTGTGAGTATTGGAAATGGGCAATGAGTTTTGGATGTGGCCATGTGTGTACATTGCTGCAGGGGTACCCTGACTTAAAACAATAACACTTTTCCAGGAGTGTTATTTTGGGGGATAAATTAGCTGTGGAGGGTTTGCTAAGTCAAGTCAGAAAGGAAGCAGATGGGAAATGATTCCCACCTAGTAAGTAAGAAGTACCCTGTTGTTAAAGAGAACTGGCAACCAGCTAAGTACAGTGGGCTGAGTAAGTGGGGCGTCATGATGGCACTCACCATGCTGAATGGGGGCTTCTACTTGAGAACCCTCCCAACTTGAGGATGGCCAGAAACAACCTGGTCCTGACCTCGAGAAGGCTGGAGTAGTAAGTGGGTGTGCAGGACTCTGAGCAGTGCTCTGTAATAGAGTGCTAAGTCAGAAATATTGAACTTACTGCACCAGAAATAAAACTAGCAGAAATATATAGAGTTTACATTAATAAATTTGGGAGAACTTTGTTAGACTAGCTAGACCTTAAAAAGGAGAAAATAATGTGATAAAAAGAGCTGTAGAAAATCTGTTTAAGAACTCTGTAGAGCTAAGAACTATGTCACAGGTACATTTCACAAAATTCACTTGGAATTGACCATGATGTCATGGTGGGTGAAATCACACACAACTGAGTCTGCACTCTAGGACTGGAGAGGCTGTGGTCTGCTGGCTCCACTCTGGAGGGGGCCTGGAGAGGGGGTGTCCACTCTTTAGGCCACACAAACGGCCATGAGAGGAGGCCTGTGGCTTATGAGCCATGGGCTGACTTCAAGTCTGAGCTCCATGGAGGGAATCATACTGACCAACTGCTTCTCCCCTGACTCTTAACACGCTGCTGACCAGTCACGAGTCACCCAGTGACACGGCGAGTTTCTGTGTAAAACTGCCGGTGTTAAGTGTAGGGAATAGTCAAGTCATTGTATGTCCAGGGTGTTTCCTCTCTTCCGCTCCACTCCTCTCCCTTGGGAAGACTTCACCCTCTGTCCTGGGGAGCCACTCCCTGAGCCATGTCCAGGGTGGATTCTGGGTGATTCAGGAACCCACATGCTCCCTCGTTTCCCATCTCCCGTGTTGTGCCTCCTCCCTACCCAGCTTTCAGGAGAAGAGTCATAGGTGTCCACCGAGGGAGTGGGGTGCTGGATCCTGATGTGGTATGAGCTAGGTGTGTGGCCCCAGGTCTCTTATCAGCAGTTTGAGCTTTATTTTCTCACCTGAAATAGGAGGGTAAAAATCCATCCTTTGTAGTTGTGTTTTCTTAGAGATTATAAATGAAAAGGCCATTTAAGGAGAATCTACCCCCAGTGTGTGAGGGAGGACCTGGCATGGAGCTCGGGTCCCTGGACCAGTCCCACCTGTGAGTGGTACTGTGACCAGGGCCATGACCCCATACTCAGGGTCACAGTAAAAGATGGGGACCCAGACTTGGAAGTCAGGTGGGAGTAACAGCCCCGCTGACCTGCTCACAGTCAGCCCAGGTTCCTGCTGAGAACCCCACTTCTCCCTGGTGACTGTTCACAACGTGAGCTGAGTTCCTGTCCTGGGCTGTGCCTCCTCCACACTGGCAGGCCCAGGATCTATGCGATACCACTGCATTACAAAGCTGCAAGAATCCGAGGGCCACTGGGCTGGCAGAGCCCAGAAAGCAGCTGTGGGCAGCGGGGCCTGAGGGGTGCTGGACAGGGCGCCCGGGGGCTGGCAGAGCCCGGAAAGTAGCTGTGGGGAGCGGGGCCTGTGGGGTGCTGGACAGGGACACAGAAAAGGCATGTGAAAAACAGTATCTTGGGGAAACTAGTTTTGTTTTTGGTGGAGTTTGACAGTGGGGTAATTGTGGTGAAACTGGCGTGTCCTTGGGTCTCACACTTGCTCACTGTTGAGAACAAAACGCTAACACAGGGTCCGGCAGTGATTCATAACAGGATCGCTCTGCGGGGAGGGGCAAAACATGTAATTTCTTCTTCAAGGTGAATTTTCTAATTATTACTTTCTATTAGATGCTACTACATTACAAAGCACTCCCAAAATTAGTGGCTTAAAATAATGGTGTGCTTTCTTTTAATACTTCGGGTTGGCTGGGCTTGGCTAGGGTCTTTTATGTGTGACATTCAGCCGAGACCCCAGCGGAGGGAGGAGCACCCGGGATGTCTTGTCATCCGTCTGCTCCTGGAGCGCGTGAGGGAAGCTTTTCTTCTGTCTCCATTGGGGCCGTCAGACTTCTACAGCAGCTCAGCTCACACATGAGAAAATGTAGAGGATGCCAGGCAGCTGAAGGGGTAGGGGGGCACTTCACAGGGCTACTTCCCCATAGTCGGTTGGTCAAAGTGTTTGACAGCCTCAGCCAAAGCAGGTGGGAAATGGACTTGTGTCTGTGGGGAGCTTGTCCGCATACACAGTGACGGGAGGGAGCTTTGCAGTCCTATTTGCAGATAGTCACACAGACGTATTTTCCATTACATGCATGTATTTCTGAATAATAAAAAGAAAATAATTTTTCTGGCACCAACGTATTAAGAAAGAGCCAGGAAGGATGGCACCTGTGGCTCAGTGAGTAGGGTGCTGGCCCCATATACCGAGGGTGGTGGGTTCAAACCCAGCCCCGGCCAAACTGCAACAACAAAATAGCCAGGTGTTGGGGTGGGCACCTGTCGTCCCAGCTACCTGGGAGGCTGAGGCAAGAGAATCTCCTAAGCTCAAGAGTGGGAGGTTGCTGTGAGCTGTGACGCCATGGTACTCTACTGAGGGTGACAAAATGAGACTCTGTCTCTAAAAAAAAAAAAAA